CATGTTTTCATCCGGAACTACCTATTATTATTTCTGGTAGTGAAGATGGCACAGTTAAAATTTGGCATTCAAATACATATCGTCTAGAGAACACTTTAAACTATGGTTTAGAACGCGCTTGGACTGTTGCCTACCAAAAAGGAAATAATAATGTCGCGTTCGGATATGATGAAGGAGCTGTTTGCGTCAAGGTTGATAACTTTTAAGGTCTTTTTTTTTTTTTTAAGAAAAAAAAATAGTTAAAATTCTCTATTAAATTTATCGATCGCTAAAATGAGATTATTTTATTCTTAGTTAGGACGTGAAGAACCGGCTGTCAGTATGGATAATTCTGGAAAAATAATTTGGGCAAAACATAATGAAATTCAAACAGCTAATATCAAAGCTGGTCATGGTATATGTCAAAAGCTCTTGGTATTAACAGTAATTATTTGACATTTACTATAAATATTTAATTAAATGTTTCTTTGATAGATGATAACATTAAGGATGGTGATCGTTTACCTTTACCTATCAAAGATTTGGGTAGTTGTGAAGTGTACCCTCAAACATTGCAACATAGTCCTAATGGAAGGTAACATAAAAATTATTAAATACGCTGATTTCTTTTATGGAGAATATATTAAAATCCTCTTATTATCAATTATAGATTTGTTGTTGTATGTGGTGACGGTGAATACATCATTTACACAGCACTTGCTTGGAGGAACAAAGGGTTTGGTAATGGTCTTGAATTTGTGTGGGCATTGGACTCAAATGAGTAAGCTTATTTTTATAATTTTGTGGATGGAAAAGGTTTTTTTTCAGAATATCCTTATTTACTATTATAAAATTTATAGATATGCTGTGAGAGAATCTACAACAAAAATTAAACTTTATAAAAACTTTAAGGAGAGACCAAATGCCTTGAAATTGAATTTTATGGCAGAAGGAATTTATGGTGGAACTCTTTTAGGTGTAAAGAGTACTACCTATTTAAATTTGTATGATTGGGAAACTGGTTCTATCGTTAGAAGAATTGATGTTATTCCTAAAAGTGTGAGTTATATATATATATATATTTATTTATTTAAGTGTCGATATATAAATAAGAAAATGCGATTAAAATTCGTACTTTTATTATTATTATTATTATTATTGGTGTTCCATTTGTAGGTACATTGGTCGGATATTGGTGATCTTGTAACCATTGCCTGTGAAGACACTTTTTACGTTTTACGATTTAATCGCCAAGCTTATACACAATTCTTAGAAAGTGGTGGTGAAATTGGTGATGAAGGTGTTGAACAGGCTTTTGAGTTTGTAACAGAAATTCAAGAAAGGTATAGTTAAAAATTAATTTTTATTTATTTATTTTGGCAAACATATTTATTTTCTTTCATTTTTTTTTTTTTTAGTATCAAAACAGGAACTTGGGTTGGCGATTGTTTTATTTACACCAATACTGTCAATCGATTGAATTACCTCGTTGGTGCCCAGACATTTACTATTAGTCACTTTGATACGTAAGGAATATTTCTTATATTATTATTCGACAAAATTAATTATTAATATTATTTTATTATAGAAATATGTACTTATTGGGTTACATTCCAAAAGACAACCGTATATATTTGACCGATAAGGTAACGTTTTTTTACACCCGAGTCGTTTTATAACCCTTTGGGTTTATTAAAGTTAAAGTTCTATGAATACTTTAATACTCAATTTTTTAATAAATTGATTCAATTTATTAAGGATGTCAATGTATATAGTTATGCCCTTTCTTTAACCGTTATTGAATACCAAACTGCTATCCTTCGAAGTGATCTTGAGACAGCAGAACAATTGTTACCTACTGTGCCTTCTGACCAAAGGAATCGCATTGCAAGATTCTTGGAAAGCCAAGGTAATTTTTTTATTTTTGATAAAAAAAAAATAATAATAATGTTGAAGTATCAAAGATGTTAAGCAATTTGATGATTATAGACCTCAAAGAGCTTGCACTTGAAGTTTCAACTGATGTTGAGCATAAATTCGAGCTTGCCGTCCAACTCAATAAGCTCGATGCTGCTGTTGAAATTGCACGTGAAGTGAATACTGAAACAAAGTGGAAGGCTGTTGGTGATTCCGCTTTAAGTGCTTGGAAGGTAGGTAATTTCCCTTGTCTTTTCGGGTTGTTATTATTTTCAAGTATTTTAATCGTTTAATTGCCAAATAGTTTTCACTTGCTGAAGAATGTCTCAAAAAAGCTAAAGATTCAAGTGGCTTACTTTTGTTGTATACTGCCTCTGGTAATGCCAAAGGTATAAAGGAGTTGGCTGAATCAGCTGGTAAGCTCAACGTATTATAAAATGTTTATACTAATTCATAAATTAATCATGATTTAATGTTTATTAAGTTGCGGATGGAAAGAATAACGTGGCGCTTGCATGTTTTTTGCAACTCGGTCAGGTTGAAGATTGTATAAGTATACTCATAAAAACCGATCGTATCCCAGAAGCAGCAATGTTTGCGCGAACATATCTTCCAAGGTAAACATTTAATAAATGAATGATTGACATATGGGGGTTCATAATCCTATTAATTCTGTATTTTACAGTCATGTTTCAAGAGTCGTTAAATTATGGAAAGAAAGTCTTGAAAAACAAAACAAGAAAAAAGCACGTTCGTAATTCTTTAATCCTATGTAAACCATCGCGCCATAATAATGATATAGCAAATGATCTGTATAGAAGA